CCCACACACACGTCTTTTTATCAATGTATTGTTCTAAAAACTTTCTGTGTTCTGTTTTTGCTTTACCTTGTGCATTTTCGCCTCGTTATGCAAATAAGGTGAGTGGACCTTTTTGGGTCAGGTCCTCTCCTATTGGTCAACAAACAGGAAGGAACACAATCTATGTGCAGACTGTGCATGCCTGCACTGCCTCAGTTTAGCAACCAAAGTGTAGTTATAGAGGCAGAGGAAAGATGGTCTGTCTCGGGWTGTTAACGGGAGCTGCAAACGGCCAGGAACTTTTGGATTGTTTTGTAAATAGATCTGAAATCTTTGGAAGTTAAGCTCCTACTAATCGCCCCCCCCCCCCTTTTTTTTTGTGCAGTATACATAAAGATTGCAATATTGTTTTATAAGCATTTCCCCATAACTCCATACAATAAGTCAAGTAAGGCAGTATAAGACAACAATACAGATGACACAACACATGCCTTGTTTTGCGTAGCACAGCATTGCTCGGAAAGCGCGAAAGTATTTTGTTTGATATCAACATTTAAAATGGTCCAATTATCTTTTTAAAAATTTATTTAAATATACACACAGCAATATAGAATTTATGATTATGTACTGTTGATAGGGCTGCACGATATCAGAAAAACCAGCAATAACAGTGCTTAATATCGCGATGACGATATAACTCGGGATAAATAAACAAATACTTAAACATGCTGCGTTGATGTCTGCCTGCTCTCAAAACAACTAGTTTCTTAATGATTTTAAAACATCGCCCCACTCAAGATTTTCTGATGCTCTAAATACTGAAAAACGGCCCTTACTATCAGTTTTTTATATATAAGTAACAAAACATCTGAAAACGAGTTAAATAATTTTAAATGAAAGGTAACAAACCTTAATCCAAATGTAAATCCTCTCATTGCAACATTTTGTGGTTATTGTTTGATGTGGGGTCCATTTTGTTTATCGGACTGATGTTGACAAAGCACATGATTGATGACACATTATTGGCTACCATTTATTGCCGTTTACGCAGTTTTTTTTTGCGATGTATCTATTGCACATGCTGTTATCATGATTATGATGAATTTGTGATATATTGTGCAGCCCTAACTCTTAATGATTTTGTTTTTACTTTAAAAGGCTATTTTGGAATTGGTTGCAGTAGGGCTGGGCGGTATGACCCCAAATTCATATCACGGTATAAATTGAATTCCTTCACGGTAACGGTATATATCGCGGTAGAAAATTATAGGGCTTTGTATTGGCAAGAATTTGGCGATACGATACATATCATGACAAAGTGGTCACGATACGATATATCCCGATATATTGCGATACTGTAAGCAAGGTGATATATTGCGATTTTTTTGGTCCAAAAACTCTGTTAAATAAAAACCTCTTACTGGGGAAAAAATGAAAAACCAAAATTCATTGTCTCAGAAAATTCTAATATTACAGACATACTTTTGATACATTTAGCTGTGTTATGTTGTAGTTCAGCCTCTGACCACTAGTTGGCAGCAGTGAGCCAGTCGGCTCACTGCTGCCA